TTTTGAGTTGTGGCATTGGAGAAGAATGCTAAGAGTACTATGGTCGGCTAAAAGGACTAACAAATCTGTCTTGGAGGAAGTGCGGTTGGAATGTTCCTTGGAAGCAAGAATGGCCAGACTTCGTCCCACCTACTTTGGTCATGTTGTCAGAAGAAACCATTCCCTGGAGAAGGATATCATGCTTAAGAAAGTGGAGGATCAACAAAGAAGGGAAAGGCCCTCAATGAGATGGATTGACACAGTGGCTGCAACAATGGGCTCAGGTACAGCAAAGATTGTAAGTCTGGCACAGGACTGAGCAGTATTTTGTTCTGCTGTGCATAGAACCACTAGGAATTGGAGACGACTCAATGGCACCTAACAACGACAATCTATTTCTTAGCTCTATCAGTCCCTAATATTGTGTCACTGGCGTTTTTCTGAAGAACGTGCTTTTGAAACTATGGTATTTTAAAATAAAACTGCCAAAAAAAATCTTCATGATTACATTTTATGGTTAATTAATTTGACATTATTGATATCATTAATGGATTCTTTTTTCAAAATGTTAATTCATTTTGTTGTTGTTGAGAATATCCTTCAATGGATTCTTCTTGGTAGATTATAATATTTTCAGTTGAGTTACTTGGTAAGCGCAGAGAAAATCCGCTAATTAGAGGGTATAGTTAATTCTATTTTCCTATTTCAAAGTATAAATATCTCAACCTGATTACTTTTGCTTCCACCAGAGTATATCTTTTTAATAATATTTATTTTATTTTTTGTTGCTATTCAGACATGGAAGCATAGTGCCTAAGGCATTTGACGGCTAACCAGAAGGGTGATGGTTGAAACTCACTAGCCACCCTTGGAAGGAAGGTTGGACAATCTATTTCTGTAGTGATACTGCCTTGGTAACGCAAGGAGGGATGGGTATGAGTCGGGTCTGACTCAACGGCATATAGCAACAACAACAACATTCAGACAAGTTGTTTATTCAGATTTATCTCTAATTGATAGAATGCATGGAAATGGTATTTTATTTATTATTTATTTAAATAATATTTTTAAAGGTAAACTTGTGAAATAAGTTATCTCTGTGATTCTTTTGAATGTTTTGCCAGATTCAGATACTTCAAAATCTAGGCCTTCTCAATTTAATTACATTCATATACAAATATATAAAATTCATACAAAATATGAGCAAGCCCAAAGATTCTTCTCACAAGGTGAGGTATTCCAAATCACATGTACTGAATCACAAATTTTAATGTCATATAGCATTTGAACTCTCAGTGTTTAATTTAATTAATCTAGTATTATCTTGATTCCATAAATGGATGGGGGAAAAAAATCAAACCATTTTTAAAATTAATTAAAATTATTTAATTGTTGGAAGTATTTGGTGACATGAAACTAAAACTGGAATAATTTAACTGTTTGCAAAGTTCTTCTGGCAATGGAGTCATCGTATTAAGAGATATTGCTTTCTTTTCCTATGTACTCATAAAACCTTGTAATGAAAAACAAATGAAATTAGTTTAGAAGAAGTCATTTGATCTAAATAAAAATTATACTTCCCAAGTGGCACATATGTGTACCTTCCACAGCTGCATGTGTAAGTCATCATCTCCAGATACATTCTCCTTATAAAACTAAAAAAACCCAAACTCTCTGTCATCAAGTTGATTCTGACTCACTGACCTCCACAGGGTTTCCAAGGCTGTAAATCTTTACAGAAGCAGACTGCCTTAATCTTTCTTCCGTTGAACAGTGGTGGGTTCAAACCACAGCCCTTTTGGTTAGTGGCCAAATGCTTTAACTACAATATCACCAGAGCTCCTTATAATAACTACTAAATTTTGGAATAGATCCTGACAATTTTTCAGCAGATTTAACTTTTATTGTTTTCATGTGGTCAATGATACTACTTGGCTTCTATCCAAAAATCCAAATCTACTCCCACTGAGTCAATTTTGACTCATAAGCAACCCTATAGGTCAGAGCAGAACTGCCCCTGTAAGGATTCTAAAGCTATAATTTTTACAGAAGCAGACTGCCACATCTTTGTCCCACAGAGTGGCTGGTGAGTTTGAACTACAGTCTTTCAGTTAACAGCAGAATGCTTAACCACTGTGCCACCAGGGCTTCTCTAAGCCTCTTTCAAACCCACCACACCTTTATGTTGATTTCAACTCACAGTGACTCTATAGGACAGAGTGTAAAACCGCTTCCATAGGGTTTCCAAGGATATATAAACCTTTACCAAAGCAGACAGCTACATCTTTTTCCTGTAGAGTGGCTGGTGGGTTTGAACCACTGATCTTTTGGTTAGCAGCCAAGTGCTGTACTGTGCCACAAGGGCTCCTTTAGGACTCGACAGTAGATAGTAAATATCAACAAATATTTTGTGTAAGTTACACAGTCATTATCAACTTTCTAAAGAAACAAAAATATTTAAGTACTTTTAAAAAATATGAAATATGTACTTTTACTTTTTGAGCTTACTGTCACCTAAAGGGCTTTGTTCTGGTTCCCTGGTGCCGCTCTGACAAGAATATACCACAAATGGGATGCTTGAACAAACAGGAGTTTATTCTCTTACAGTTTAGAGGTTTTAAGTCCAAGGTCAAAGTGTCAGACTCTTGGGGCAGGGTGAAAGCCCCTCAAGCTTGGGCTTCAGCTCTGCCTCCTGCTACCGGCCCACTGAAGCTAGAGGCATCTCTTTACTTAGGCAGCTACTGGCTGCTAAGGCTAACAAGCCCAAGGTTGATAAGTAAAAAGGCACAGTCCTGATGTTACCAAACCACATGGCCAGCCATTCATTCAAATCCATTGGAAGTCCCAAGGTCGGCAGGGCATGGCACACTGCTGAACAACAACACAGCTACACACAGGGTTCAAGTGTGCCACAAGCTAGAGACCATTCCCAAAACTTCTTCTTCTATACGGGAAGCAGACCACATACTTAACCACCACAGGTTTATTGCATAAACAAACAAGGTTGCCAAATAATGAAATAGTTACAGATTGACACCATACAAGCATGTTCAGTTTACTCTCTACTCACTTTATAGTAGAATTGATCAGATTTGATTTCCCAGACATATTTCTCAGATACCAACACTACAATTTCCTGTGTTTCCCACTGAGCTGATTAACTGGAACCTAGAAGTTCTGTGAATCTTATTGGCTATGGCATTGGTCATGGTACAACAGGGTTATATACCAAGAGGCCAGCTGGTCAGCAGCATTAATTACTCCTCCCACTACCACCCAAAAGAGGGAAGAGTTGGTTGTCACTAGATGTTTATGTCTGAATGTACTTTGTTATATCGGTAAGTATCCGCCATCCTGTCCTTAATTGAATGGTGTTAGTTACACTGTCTGGAAAGGGTTTGGGAAACAAAATGCGTTATTGGTGGGTGTCTTCCAGATTTAACAACACATTACAATGAGAACTTTTCCACTGTGCATGAGTCTCATAGACTACTAGACTACACTAGACAAAAAACAAGGCAGAGGCTAGAAGTACAAGAGGAGATGTGTCAAACCCATTCTGGCTTATTCTAAAAAAAACTAGAATAATTATAAAATTCTCTGTTAAAAAAGTTAAAAGATCCAGGACAAATATTGAATCAGATGGGATTCCAGGACACCAGACTTATATCAAGTCTGTTCCTAACAAACCAAAATATGAACTCTTTCTACTGATTAGGGTGAGGACATGATAGCAGGTCAAGCCACCATATTGGGTTATGAGGTGGTAAGGATGGTGGCAGAGCAGTAAGATAGGAGCCTGGTCCTTCCCTTAGCAGAATCACCATACCAACCTTGGATGGTCTACTTCCACAATTTTTTATGTGAGAGAAAAGATTCCTAATTTTCTTAGGCCACTGTTTTCTTATAGTCAAATCTAATCCTGACTGATATTTGGGGAATGAATACCTCGCCAACCTCTGTAGAAAGCAGCTTGCAAATGTTTATCAAGAATACTAAATATTTTTCAACCCTTTGAACCACCTTCTAGGTATTTATTTTAAGGAAGTCATCTGGAATGAGGAAAAGATGATGTGCAAAAATGCTTAGTGCAGAGTTTTATGATCATAAATATTTAGAAACAACCTAAATGTTCAAAAGTGAGGAAAGTGTTAATAAACGGTATTACGCTGAATACTATGCACCAAACCAACCCAAACTCACTGCCGTTGAGTCGGATCCGACTCATAGCGACCCTTGCTTGGGTTTCTGAGGCGGTATCACTAGAGAAGTAGATTGCCCAACCTTCCTTCCGAGGAGTGGCTGGCGGGTTTGAACCTCCAGCCTTCTGGTTAGCTCTCAAATGCTTTAGGCACTATGCCACCAGATATTTATTTATATCTTCTTTAGTCTGAATATTTTAACTATTCTATAATTAGGAGCTCTGGTAGCATAGTGCCTAAGGCACTTGACTGCTAACCAGAAGGCTGGCGGTTCAAACCCACCAGCCACTCCCTGGAAGGAAGGTTGGGTAATCTACTTACGTAGTGATACTGCCTCAGAAACCCAAGGAGGTGTCGCTATGAGTCAGGTCTCATTCGATGGCACACAACATAAACAACATTCTATAATCAATACATAATTTCATTTACAATCAGAAAAAAAAAATATAAATTCATTTCAAAATTCTGTCTCAGCCTTTACTAGTTTCACCTAGTATTGATATGCCATTACAGGCATCATCATCACAGATATACTGAACATCTAAGTGTGAGGAGCTCTGGTAGCATAGTGCCTAAGGCATCTGACTGCTAACCAGAAGTCTGGCAGTTCAAACCTACCAGCCACTCCTGGGAAGGAAGATGGGGCTATCTACTTCTGTAGCAATACTGCCTCAGAAACCCAAGGGGGGTCGCTATGAGTCGGGTCTGACTCGATGGCACATAACAACAACAACAAATGTGAGGAGTGGTGGCAGCAAGATGCCCAGGCCTTTGTGGCTCTGGCAGCCGACCAAGAACCACATGAAGGCCCGGTTTTACCTTGGTGTTCTGTAGTAGAGCTAGTCCATGGCAGGCATTTGCTAGAAGAAAGTCTCCACTCAGGATAGCTATTTTATTTCCAAATTGCATGTCTTTCAGCGGACCATCAGAAGACTGCAATTCATTTAAATTTACTATTCCACGATGGACAAGGAGAGCAGTATGGATAAGTTCTGTGATCTCCGCCAAACTTCTTTGACTAAAATATAAAAGTAAGATATGTCTTAGTGTAGAACAGATAGTGAGTGTACCATTTTATCAGTAATGTCAGACTGGTTTTCAGCAATAAAATTTTCATAGATTTTTCCTTTTTTTTCAGATTATTCCTTTTTAATAGAGGCCTCTCCACTGAGTAGTTTGGGATCTATAAGCAAATCTTGATGTCTACCCTTCTCTAAAATAATACCCTCACGTTCTACCACATGAGCCAGCCGGATTGCTCAGAAAGAAGCTGGCCAGTGGAGGGCCACCCTCCACAGTTCCATTCAGACACTTTGCTTTGAGCTGTCCATTTTCCTCTAACATTCCTCCAAATTTTCTAGCACCCTCAGCTTCAGAAAACAGGATGATAGACATTGCTAGTTACCTATTCATTCTTTCCTTCTTCTCACCAATAACATACCTTTGATTACATTTGGAGTGTCAATATACTCAGTTAAAAATATTCCCCTCCCCAGAGTTCCCTGGTGCTACAGGGGATCATGTGAACAGTCTTGCCAGTGAAATGTAAACATTCTGAGAAAGCTACTGTCTTTCTGATATAAGAGGACAGACTCAGTTGGTATGTACCTTTAATCTTTTGGGTTTACCCCTTCCTCCTGTCTGGAAGGCACAGAAAATACCTACGGACCATAAAGAAGGCCCCAACCTAAGGATGGTAGGGCAAAAAGAAAGAAGCCTGGCCTCTGAAGACTTCTTTGAAGGGTTGTATCAGCTGTGATGTGTTCACTTCTAGACTTCTTATTATTGAGATAAATAAACCATACACTGTTTTAAGCCAGTTTGTTAGAGTCCTTCTATGTGAAATAAAATAAATAAATTTCCAAAGGTGCAATCAGTAAGAACCATGCCACAAAAATGGTTAAAGACATTATATATTCATATTTCTGTACTCTGGTTTTCTCACCTAATATTAATTCTTGGGGGCAGTTCCACATTCTTTACAAATAAAAAATCTCCTTATTCTACTTAACATCTCTACACAGGGCTGTTGTAGGGATGTGCCATACAACATTTGCTGCTATAGTTGAGTGATCAATATATTTTTCTTTAAAGAATTTTGAAGAATTAGCCTAAGTGTCACCTCTTCTGTGAAGTCTTCCTTTGTTTCCCCAGAGTTAACTCTTTCTTCTGTGTTTTAAAGCATTTGAACATGGCTCTGTCATTTCTCATACTGTAGTGCAGTTTCTTCTTTAGCTATCTACCTCCTTGCTACTCCCTTCCTCACTACACTGTAAATTATATATCCTATTTTTCCTAGACTAAAGAGCTCTGGTGGTGTAGTGGTTAAGGTATTTGGCTGCTAACCAAAAGGTTACTGGTTCCAATCTACCAGCTGCTCCATGGAAGAAAGATGAGGCAGTCTGCTTCCATAAAGATTTAGCGCCTTGGAAACAATGAGGGGTCACTGTAGGTTGGAATTGCTTCAATGGCAGTGGGTTCGGTTTGGTTTTGGTTTCCCTAGGCTGCCTACAAATACTTGTAACAATTCTTTATTTAGCAACAAATTTTATAAAAACTATGGAAGGTTATATCATTTTTAGTTTCAAAGGGAAGGAATCATATAAACTAAAAAATCAGGCTTATAGAATCAGAGTTGGAAGCGATCCTGGAAGTCCGTTAACCTTCAACTAGGCCCTTCAGGAGGTAACTCTGCTGATAAATATTTTTAATTATTAGAAGTTTTTTGTTCCTTGTATTAAACTGAAATCTCTCCTTTTAAAATGTTTCACATCAAAGTTGGTATTAAAATAGTAGAAGGGCAATTATTTTTCATCACACCAGGGAAGGAGACAAAATTCAAAAGAGAGTGAAGCCTTCTTTCTCATTCATTTTTTTCCTTTTCTTTCTCCTTCTTTCCCTTGAGAAGTTAAAAAAAAAAAAAAAAATACAGTAAGGGGCAGAGATTAATATAACAAATAACATATCTTCTACTTAGAAGTAACAAATGTTTACACTTTCTCATTTTTAACAGTTTTTAAAGATGCATTTTTTTAAACATTTTTATTTTGGAAAATTTCAAATACCTAAAAGTGGAATAGACAGAAATAAATAACTCCTGTGGACCCATTACCCAGCTTCCACAATTGTTAACCCATAGCTAATCACCTTGCTTCATCCACCTCTTACACTCTCCTTCTAGATTACTTGAAAGTAAATGCCAGATGTTGTGTAATTTCATCTGTAAATGCTTCAAATATCCTACCTGAAAAAATATCTAATAGTGATTATAAATACCACTTGCTAAACTAATTACTTAGAGCAGCTAAGAACTATATGCTTTATGTATTGTGTGTAAAATATTTTTGGATATATAGCTAAATTAACAGATTAACAAAATCATTTAAAATTCACAACAGCTCTCTGAGGTAAGCATAATTATCACCACTGTTCAGAAGGGAGCTAGGCTGAAAGAGGCTACGTTTCTTGCTCAGGTTCACACAGCTAGTAAACTGCAGGGCTGGACTGAAGCCCAGGGCCCTCTAGCTCTAAAGCCCAGGCTCTTTGCATATTAATAGAAAGCTAATAACAATCCCAAAGACAAAATGTACAAAATTCAGGTTTTTTAAAAGGTATTAAAATGGCAGGCATTCATTCATTTAAAGTCCTTTTATTTCAATCCTAAAAGTATTTTTTTTTTTTTTTTAGGATTTGGGTGAAGATTTACAGTTGTTGTTGTTGTTAT